TGTTGATAAGGCGAATGTTGCTGCTCGGCCGGTGATTGGGCCAGCGGCGTGGGTGGCTGTGTAGCAGCCGAGGAAGCGGGCGAGTCCACGCTAGGCATTGGACTAAGCGCCTGTTGCTGCTGGGGATTGGGACTGTGTGAGGGCTGCTGCTGTTGTTGTTGTTGTTGTGACTGCTGTTGCGCCGGCTGCTGCTGCTGCTGCTGCTGCGACTGAGGCTGATGGTAGGGCGACTGGCCATGGTAAGGGGAAGGCTGCGTGGAGTGGGGTGTGGTGTAAGGCGAACTTTGTGGCTGCTGATAGGGTGAATGCGGATTGGGTGTGCTGGGACTCATTGAAGAGTTATAATCAGACTCCTGTGATCGTGGCTGTTTGTATTGGTCGTAAATGGGCAACGGCGATGTAGAGGAGTAGGCTGGTGTCTTGGATGCCTCCGAGCCAGACGGATTATAGCTATTGCCACCGCCATAGGGCGATGTGCCGCTCAGCTCAGGCGTCGAGACATTTGGTGAGGATGCCGACGAATAAATGTGCTGGGAGTATTGCGGATACGGCGAATTCATCTCGCGCGGACTGCAGCTCTTATCCGGACTACTCTTGGTCGTGGTGTCCTGATAGAAGCCCACCTTGATGGCTCCGTTGAGGGTGTATGGAGATGCTGGCTTGCCCATGTCATCATTCGGCTTCGGAGACACCATGATGGGCGAGGCACCAATGGGCGAGGCGCAAATAGGCGATGTATACGAGCCAGCCGCATAGGAGCCATAACGCTCGTCGATGGCTATGCGCGGCGAATCCGGGTCCTGACTGAAGGAGCTGCGCTCCGAATTGGTGCTGCCCGTGCTGGGCTTGCGCTGTCGCATCACAACAGGCAGCGAGAAGTTGTTGGTCGCATCGCCAGCTGCTGGCGAGTGAGCCGGAGGCGCCACCCGGGCGTCATCCTGCGTGAGCAACAATGACGTTTGCTGTTTCTCATCCTCGCTGGATTTCTTGTTAACCTTCGGACCGCCAAAGGCCTTGAGCCACGCACTTAAATTTGGCTTCTCCTTGGCTTCGGCTGAGCCGGCTTTGGATGCCAATTCGCTGACTTTGCTCAGCTCGAGCAGCGCCTCGAACGGCTTCGGCGGTTCCTTGGTGGGCGTTGTAGCTGATGTTGACTCCTCCGGACTGCCGATGCCACTGATCTCTTTGGGCGACTGTTCGTGCTCCTTCTTATTTGCCAGCTCCTCGAGAGTTTTCCCCAGCGCAAAGTCTTGAGTCGTGATCACCGTGCCTAGGCTAAGCTTTGGTGCTCCATCGCTGCTCTCCGTGGTAAGCGCATTTTTCGCGTCTTTTGTCTTGTTAATAACAGGACTGAGCAGGGTTTCCAACTCCTCCGTCTTGGCCACGTTCTGTATGAGATTTCCCTTTGCCTTGCCTGGCTGCAGCCTCTCAATGGTCCGCATCACATTCGCCTTGGCCTTGGCCTGCTGCGCCTGCGCCGTAGCCGCCTGCTTCTCTTTGAGCGATTTGCGTTTCGCCTCCTTGGCCATCTGTTGCTTGATGTGCGGCGGCGGTGGCGGATTCAGAAGCAGCTGCGTGCTGCTCGGCTCCCTGGCGGGCTTCAGTGGCGCAGGCGATGCTGTTGCTGCAGCTGATGCGACTACGGCTGGTCCGGTTGTGGGTGGAGCGGATGCTGCTGCTGCAGCCGTTTGTGGCGCTGTAGCTGAGGAGTTATGGGAAGACGCCGAAGTAGAGCTGGCAGCTGTTGCTGAGGTGCTGCCAATGGAGTTGCCCGAGTGCATTGAATGCGGCGGTGTGCCGCAGCTGCTGCTCACGCTGCTCGCCGTGGGAAGCACATCGGATTCGACTTTTATGCTTTGCTTGGGCGCGGTTTCGCTGACCAGCTCGTTGAGCGCCTCGGCCAGCTTGGTGGGCACCAGCTCCGCCTTGGGCGCAGCCAGAGCAACGGGTCGCCTAAAATCAGCCGCATCCAACTTGGTGCCAATGCTGGAGTCGAAGTCATCCAGCAGATTGTAGCGCGACGGCGAATTGCTCGCAGAGCTAAACTCCGAGAAGCGCGGCGTGTGCTCCAACCAGCGATTGATGTCCTTTAGCGTTTGCTCCGTCTCCACATCCAGCGCCTCCAGATTCGCATTGCTGTTGGCCGTGGCTTTCTGAGCCGCTGCAGCTGCTCGTTTGCCCGTCATCTTTTTGTTGCCCTTTTCAGCTGACTTTTCCGCTGGCTTTGGCGGCGGTGGCATTTGCTTGTCCGCTCGCTTTTTGCTGCTTGCTTTGGTGCTGGAATCTTTAGTCTTGGCATTGCTCGCACTATTGCTGCTAACCGACTTGGCTACATCCTTGCCAACCGGCTCTGTTTTAACAGCTGGCAAAGGAGGCGTTGACGTTATAGGCAGCGCCGGTGGTGGCGGCGTCAAATCTCGCAGCAGCGGCTTGTCAACGTTTTTTGGTGTCTCTGCTTTCTTGGGCTGTTTCTCGACGGGCTTCTCTTCCTTCTCTTTCTCCTTCTCCTTCTCAGGCTTTTCCAGCTTAATCGACTTCTCTACGCTGCTGTTGGAGTCCTTAGCATGCTTTGGCTCTTTGTTTTTGCGACCACGTTTATGTTCCGCTGGCGCCTCTGTTGTATTTTCACGCTTTTTCTTGGAGTTGGAATTGCTTTTGATGCTCGTCGATTTGGAGTCCTCGGAGGGCGCTAGAGAATTGGATGCACTGGAATTGCTTTGAGCTGCGCGACTGCGTCGATACTTGATCACATCGTATTTGTCCATGAAGGGCAGCAGCATCTCCAGTTCCGCCTGCTCGGCAGCTGCGGCTGCTGCAGCCGCGGCCTCTGCTGAGCTCTTCTTGTGCTTGGCACTGCGCGACTTGTCCTTATCCTTATGCTTATCCTTGTCCTTTTCTTTGTGTTGCGTACTTTTCTTGTCCTTGTCCTTGTCCTTGTCCTTTTCCTTCTCCTTCTCTTTCTCCTTTTTCACCTCTGACTTCTTACCCCGCTTGGTAGCCACTGGCGAGGGTCGACGTCGTCGCTCATCGGAGCTACTGTTGCAGCTGGCCAGCGACATGAAATCGGATTCCGAGTCCTGATCGGACTTGTCAACCTCGTGACGTGCGCTCAGCTTGGAGGTCTCGGCGCTGGTCACCTTTTTGACCGTGGTCAGCAGCTCGGAGAGATCATCGTTGAGCGCGCTCTTTGAGTATTTCTTGTGCAGATCCACCTTGAAGGGCGACATGCTGCGCGATCGTGAGACGTCGTCGTCATCGTCATCATCATCGTCTGCATCCGCATTGTCGTCGTCGTCGCGTTCGTCATCGTCCTCCTCCAGCTCTGCAGCAGATTCGGCTAGCGCTGCGGCAGCTGTTGGTGGCAATTGCTTCTTATCAAACAGTGGACTGTCGTCATCCAGGTCATCCAGCTCTCGCTCGCCTTTGCCACGACCTCGACTTCCTTTCTTGCTCTTTGGCTGACGCTTCACAGGTGTTGGTGTCTTCACCTTCGACTCGGCGGGCACCATTTTCTTCTTTTGCGCGGCTATCGTGCGCGCTGTGGGCTTCACCAGCGATTTGACTTTGGCCAGTGCCACTTCTTCATCGTCGCTCGACTCGGGTTCAGTGGGTGCTGGATCACTAACTTCCGACTCCGTTTCCGTTTCGGGCGTTGACTTTTTACCCGCTTTTTTGGTCTTTTGTGTTTTGGTAGTGGGCTTCGAGGAACTGGTGGCCGACGTTGACTGCGAGGATTTGCTGCCTTTAGCTTTGCGTCCACGTTTGCTCGACGTGGCCAGCTCTGTGTCCCTTTCCCTGTCCTTATCCTTGTCTTTGTCTTTTTCCTTAAGTACTTTGTTACTCTTGCTCTTCTTGATTACAGGCGGCGGTGGTGGCGGCTCCGGTTGCAAATCCTCCTCATCCGTTTCCACATCTTCATTGTGACCCATGTCCCTTTCTGGTTTTGTTTTAGTTTTCTTCTTACGCCGTTTATCCTTCTCCTTGCGCTTACGTTTTTGCGCGTGTGTTGTCAGCTCCGCGGCAGGCTCCTCCGTTTCACTGTGCTCCTCCTCTTCCGCACTTGTGTCCTGTATACGTTTACTCGACGTCGAGTTCGCTGAGGATTCCTTTCCCTCGTCACCTTTCGCTTTCTTGCTGAAGTACTTCTCGCGGAATACGTTCATTTTAGAATCAGCGGCGGGATAGCTTAAATTCGGATCATCATCGTCGTCTTCGGAGAGATTATCGAAATATTTCTTGGTCGCCTTATCGAAGGCATCCTGCAGATTGTTGACCATTTCCGTGTACTCTGTGGAATGAGAGATCCTTTATATAATTCTTATCCAGATATTCAATTGAGATATAGTATACCATTGTTGTGACCATTGTACAGTCTACAGTTGTTGACAATCAAGCGAAAATCGTTGCGAAATTCGCTGAACTTGTGATACTTCCCACTGTCCAGTTTATCCTCCATCTTGAGCAGGTCCATGGGTCTAGAAAAGAAGAGAATGAATATAAGATAGATACTTAATATTATTGTATACGTTACCTTCTGATAATTGAGTAATATCGCGGTGCGATATCCTCTTCAACGGGATCCATGAAGGGCCATGCATCCCGATGATTTTTCACATAGACAAGCACCTTATGCATTCCGATTTGTAGCACCTCCTCCGTTTCGGTAAAGCTAAGAATATTCGCATGATTTGAGGAGTTGTACGTTGAATTGTTGTTTGCTTTCGCTGATGATGTGGTTGATGTTGTTGTTGTGGAGGTGATGTTGGTGTGGTTTGTTAGATGATGGGTTATGGGTCTGGTTACATTTGTTATGTGTGGTTGTTGTGTGGTGTTTAATGTCGAGGAATGAGATTTATGTTTATTACTGTTAATATGACTATGTGAATGGTGGGTGGAGTTGGTGTGGTGCGTGTGGTTGGTGGTGTTGTGTGATGATGTTTGGGCTCCGTGCGGCGTTGTTGTTATTTTTGCTGCATTTGCTGCTTCCGACGTTGAGTGGTTGTGATTGTTGTTGTTGTGATTGTGGTGCGACGCGTGCTTATGGTGGTTGTTGTTGTTGTTGTTAAAGCTGCTGTTGCTACGGTTGGTACTATTTACATGGCTACATTTTGTTTTTGTTTTTGTTACGGTTATGATGAACAGTCAAAATGTTGTTGGTTGATTTTTGGTGGTAGGTACAAAAGTTTACAATACAAACGGGTAATAAAATGTTAATTCAATCGATATATTATATACAATTTGATGAAATATGATGTGTCGGTTAGTTGAGATAAGTGCAACAGTTAAGGACATGCAATCAAAGAAACAGAGAAACAACACTACTGGAGGGACTTACAGTAGGGTGTGGGATCTTAATGCAAAAAGCTGAAATACCCTTGCAGATGTAGATTCTCAATTGAATAGTAGAGCAGTCTAATATTGATTCAATATATAAATTTACAAAAGGTAATTGTATAGGTTTTTTAAACAAAAACGCTTTCTTTACAAGTGGCATTTCCTTTTAGAACTATAGCTATTTACAACATGATCAAACCAATTTTCTTTTATTTACTTCCTACATGATAACATAGCTTATATATCAAATTTCAGCAGTTAAACTTTATAGAGAGCCGAGTTCGTATAGGTTATATATACAAAAATTGTACGAAATATCTGCAAAGGCATTTAAAAGACAGCTAAAATATCTAAGCTCAGATCTAATTTCAACATATAAGACTTTGCTTTGCTATAAATCATAGATAAACTGTCTCTAAGCTTTTTACAAATACATTTTACATAGTTTAGTAGTAGATCTTAGAGATCTACTTATATAGAGATTATGTATGCGTAAGTGTTCGTGAGTGTATGCTGTTGGGCTTTGTTTGCTTTGTTTTAGTTAATTGGTCACTTACTCATCGGCACTCTTGTCAGAGTAGGCGTTGCTAATGCGTTCTGCCTTGCTGGATGAGGAGGCAGTGGAGGCAGCCGACGATGGCGCTCCCGTTGCTGTTGACTTTTTGCTTTTCGATGACGCCTCCGATTTACGTTCCGCTTTGGAGGAGCTGCCAGAGCTGGCGCCAGCTGCGGCCTTTTGTTTCTTGGAGCGTGCCGTCGTCTCGCCAGAGGAAGAGGTGGAGTTGTTGTTGTTGTTGTTGTTGTTGCTGATGCTGCTGCTATGTTGTTGCTGCTGTTGTTGTTGTGTGCCCGTTGGTATAAATATGTTGCCCGTTAGGGAGCTGAGTGAGTTGTTTGTTTGCCGGCCGGGCAACTTGACATTGGCCGCTGGCGCCATCTGCTCCTCCCGCTTGACAGCTGGCACTGGCGGCGGTGCGGGCTGTGTTGGCTCTGGCTGCTGGGGCTGCTGCTCCTCGCTGTCATGCGCGACGGGCGAGGGCAGGCTTAGATTCGCAATGCTTGTGGCGACCGCTATGGCCGCCGAGTTTGTATCCAGCAATTGCAACTGACGGCAAAAGTTCTCCTTATCCTCCGGACTCAATGAGGGAGTCTCTGGACTATCTGGCGACAGCTGATGTTGTGGTTGCAGCTGCTGCTGTTGATGTTGGCGACTATGGCGTCGCTTGTGGTTCCGTCCACCTGTTGGGTTGTTGCTGCTGCTGCTGTTGCTATTGCTGTTGTTGCTATTGCTATTATTGTTGTTGCTGTGGTTGTTGTTGTTCGTGTCGTCGTCGTCTGTCTCAGACGCATGCTTGTGTCGCCGCCGATGATGATGATAATGCTGTTGATCCCGTTCACCACGATCTCTGTCACGATCGCGACGCTCGCGAGAGCGTTTCTTTTGCTTCTTGCCTGACTTCTTCTTCTTGTGGTGATGATGATGGTGATGATGATGATGGCCCTTGTTCTTGAATTTCGCTGGCGATTGCGTTTTCTCTCGCGGCGGCGGTGGCGGCGTACGAAACTTATCGCCAGCTGCCTTTACAGAGCCCAAATGCTGATGCGGCTCGAGCTGTTGTTGATCTTCAAGTTGCTGTTGTTGTTGCTGCCCGAGTTGTTGCTGTTGCTCTTGCGCTAGTTGCTGATGCTGCTGTTGTTGTTGTGTTTGCTGTTGCTGCTGTTGCTGCTGTGGCTGCGGCGGCTGCTCTTGTGTCGACTCCTCGTCGTCGTTCTGGTCATCCTCTTCGGGCGACAAACAAAAGGTTTCCCTGTGGCACAGAAATTCGCTCGAATTAGTTGTTGTTGTACGTCTGAGGGAGCTTGCGTAAGTTGAAATACCACTAGCTGTTGACGTCGACTGAGAACTGAAGCGAGAAGAGCAAAGAGAAAGAGAGAGAGAGAGAGGAAATCGTGAGTAAATATTGCTGACAATTCAGAGGATATGAAAAGGCATTTAACTATTTTCCAGTATAAATCGCTTAAGACTAAAATTAAATGAATATTAATATTATTGCCCTGAAATATGATGACTAGTTAACAAGCTTTTACAAGAAAATGAAATTTAGATACACTGAATGCACACAAAGTTTTTTTTTTTTAAGTTTACATTAAATATTACAAACATAAAAATAAAATATTTTTATGGAAATGGAAAACTCTTGTTGTCTTCTTCTTTTCGAGCATTCACTGTAGCTAAGTTAATTTGTAAAACGATTTTTACTGTTATGATATAATATACTATGGAAAAGTCTGTGATTATTTGTTGCGTAGATAACATCTTGCTGCAGATGGGGGCCCTGTTCGATGAAAGCTGAATGGAATGAAGTGCCACAACAAATGTTAAACTTAAATTATGAAAAATATAAACAAAATATAATAAATTGCAATATATCAAATATAGGAATAGTAAAAAAAGCATGCTTACATAATTGTTCATATAGTGTTTTTTTTAAAGATTTTTTTTCTGATTTTTTTTGTTTGCTTTTGAAAACGAAATCCAACCAATTCTTTTCAAATTATGGACAAAACTCAAATTAATTGCGTGTCGCCCGATTATTTGGTCCAGTTGCTCTCAGTGTCTCTCAGTTTCTCTCAGTCTCTCTCTCGCTGGCGGCCTGCTGTTAAGCGTCGATGAGAATGTATTTGGGTTGTCTATTTTTTTTTTTTTTTTAAGTTTCAATGACAATTCTTTAAGCAACTTGTTTGTTGTCTTTCAAGTAAAACAAATCGAAATGAAAACAAAATCAATTTCAATAATCAAACTTAAACAGCGGCTTTTGAAACAAAATATGCTTGGATGTGCGTGTGCTTGATAGTTCTGGCTGTTTGTTGTTGTTGTCTGTGTATTGTTTTGGTTGTTGTTGTTGTGTGGTTGTTTATGATTGTGATAGATGCTGTCCGCTTGTTGCTCTGTTTATAATACTGGACGTGCTAACCGTCTGCGTGAGCGTTGCTGCACCGCTGGCGGTGCCAAACTCGCTGAATATTGTCGTTCGCGACGTTCACGTTCACGTTCTCGCTCCCGCTCACGCTTACGCTCCTCCTCTTGGCGCGCCTTCAACTCCTCTTCCTGGCGCGCCTTCAACTCGGCTAGATTACGTATGCGACTCGAGTTGCGCACTTGCAGCAATCTGTAATCGAGTGAGAGTATTAAATTTCATTACTGAATGTATACAAATTTCAAGCATGATTGAAGACGTAGTCTTCTAAAAGTACAGTCGCTTTGCTTTTCTTATTGGCTGAAGCTATTTATATTAACTAAATCAAGTAATACTCCTTTCTTCATCTATGAAACACTTACTTTCTGCGTCTCAAACGTTCACGTTCACGAAACAGCTGTGGCAGCTTGGGCAGAAAGTTCTCATCCAGTATTTGGAAGAGTTCACGTTCTTTACCATTCGTTGAGGTCTTAAATTTGGCCGCCAAATTCTGCCAGTCCTCTTCGGTGAAGCAAATCACCTGCCAGACAGTGCTGTTGCTGCCCAAAGCTGTATTTCCACTGGAGCCAATGGATCCTCCAGCTGCTGCTGCTGCTGTGGATGCTTTGCCTGAACCGGAAGCTGTGTTGGCCGTTGGCTTATCCTCGCGATAGAGTCGCGTACCGTAGAAATACCAATATCCCGAGTTTTTAGCGTCGTAGCCGAGCGGCTCAACGCGCAAACTGTCCGCCTCTAGATTACTGAGTATGACCTGCACATCGACAGAGTCCAGGCGAAAGTGACATAAGTCGTGTAGAATTTGTAGGCGCTTGCGAACGGGCAGCGATTGAAAATCTATGTCCGTATCAAAGTGATTCTCTGTCTGATGCAGGCGACACTGTTGGCGCAGGAATCGGCGCAAAAACATTTGATAATTACTATGTGTAATCTCATTGGCTACCGACTGTAGCGCATCGCAGCCGGTTAAAAGGCGTACAATTAATTCGGGCACTAAGGCAACTTGATCCTCATCGCTGGTACCATCGGAGAGCAGCGCCGATTCGAGGTCCTGCAGGCGAAATAGAGAGGATTATAGTTAAGGTATATTCCGATAATGATTCCATATATGCAACACTCACCTCAATATCAATGTCTGGCAAATCGAAGGCGGAACTAAACAATGAACAGAAATGCGAAATACACGGTATCTCCCACCATGATTGTATGTCTAAAAAAATAGAAATACATTAATACACAAATATATCTATCAATTCTTCTTGACAGGCTTACCCAATAGGCCAATGAAAGTAGAAACCATTTATGTATGCTTTATGTCTTAGAAACTTGGTTGTCTTCAAGATTAAATTAAAAACAATTCCAGGGCGCGGTTGCGTTTGCTTTCTGGTCGTTCCCTGTTGCTTAATTATAAATTCGCTTCACAAACTCTGTCCAAGAAAAGTAATAATAAATTCATTTAAATACAATTTAAATCAAGAGTCAATTTTTTGATATGAAGTCAACTGATATATTGATATTTTGACTAGATATATTTAAATTTATATTTATGTCTTTTATGTGCCACATAGCTTCTAATCAAATTTATATACCATACGGCCAGGGTATGTCATGAACAGAACACATGTACTCTAACTGAATGGCGGCAAAAATATAAACGCGTGTGCAACATGTGTGCCTGTGTGTGCGTGTGCATGTATGAGCGTGTGTTGTGATTGTCAATTTGTTTGAGATACACAAACAAACACGACTGCTTATCAATTATCAAAAGCGCGCGCGGCGTAAATTGCGATGCACATACACTGTTACATTTTTGAGAGAGCACCCACACACTTGTGTTTTGGGAGAGAAAGAAAGTACACGCGCACCCCTTTCGCGCGCTTAATTTCAAGAAGAGAAAATCAAAACAGATGGCCAATAAACTAGGCCCACAAACAAAAACGAGTTGCCTCCCGCATGGGCGGGAGTGGGACGACCATATATGCGGCCAGTGTTGTTCAGCGCTAGTTGTGCCGCTCACTTTTTCCACAGCACTGTTGATTTCTCGGCTGGTCGATGAATTCCGCTCCCTACCCCTGCTGCCATACTACAGTTATTTTGCCTGCTGTCTGCACTTCTATTTTCTTTTCTTGCTTTTTTATAATTAACATGCCCTTTCTATGAACGCCAATCGGGAATGTTTTTAAATAAATTACGCGCGATTTTAGGACATCAGCGCCCCTCGAGCATGCGTCGCCTTTGACACTGCCTTGTTGCGATGCTACTCTGTGGTGCTGCTGCTGCTACTGCTGCCTCTGGCTGTGTGTATATATTTTTTCATTTGCGCTTTCCTTTTGCCGTAACAGTGAAGCACGCAATTGGTCGACAACGGCTGTTTTATTATTATTGTTTTTAATTATTTAGCAGATGTATGCACTTCATGCACTTAACGAGCAATAGCTAATATTGCTGTTTTTACTTTAGCTTGCTTTCTTTTTCACATATAAATAAAATTAATGGACGTATGAACCTTACCGAACGACAGAATTTAAGCAATGCGCCTCAAACTGTTGGCAATATTGCCCAAACTGTGCGCTGTTACGCTCTCTATTGGACTGTTACTTGCTATCGATATATCGTGTGCGTATATGTTTCAACTAAGTATCGATACATCGCATTAAGATATTTTAATTTTATTTCTATAATATAAAAAATTTTATGAAACAAACTCCTTACAGTGGTAATTTTGAATAGATTTGTTCTGTTGCTCTCTTAATAATTACATACAAACTAAGTATATTGTTGGGAAACGGCCTGCGTTAACTGTTAACTGGAAGAGTTTGCTATTAAAATAAATTTGAACTATTTATTTTCGAGCATAACTAGACTTAGTTTCCGCAAGGTGTCGCCACATATTTATCCATACCATCCAGCCTCTCGTGTGTTTCAAATAACACGCAACAGTGTGCAACAAATAAACAACTGGCCAATTACACTGGGATCCGTGTAACAAAATGTGTTTGGTTAACAGCTTGGGTCCGGGTCCGGTTCAAGATATGTTAAAGAGCGGGAAGTTTTTCTTATTTTTTGTAATGGGTTCTTCTTGACAACTGAAAATTTTGACTCAATTGGAAATATGTTTTCAAAATTTCAATATGTGTAGACCAAAATAAACTTTTTTTTTGCATTTCTTTCAAGTTGCACATCTCCATTAGAGTTGCAATTAGGTTAATAATCGATAATTCACAAGTTTTAAGTAATTTATACTCGATCCGTTGTGTTTTGAAATTGAAGTTCAAAAAGAAAACATGCAGCTATGATTTAATAACTAATGAGAAAAAGCTGCACGTATGTGTAACTGTTTTTTTTTTTTGGCTTTGTTTCTTTTTTGCCCGCTGTCTTCCAATCGGTCGTCTTTTGCTGGTATAATTATCTACGAACTGTTCTTTCGCAAGGCGAACATTCGCTGTTGTTGTTGCTGAATCATTTGTTGCTGCTGCTGCTGTCGACGCAGGCGCTGCTGGTCCTGAGCTTGTTGTTGAGCATTTCTAATGTGTAGATTTTTATTCAATTTGTTGTTATTCCTGGCTTGCTGTTGTTGTTGCAGCTGTTGCTGCTGTTGTTGTTTTTTGTCTTTGCGAGAGGATGGATGCTCCATGTTGGGTCCCTTTTGACGTTGATCGTGAGTGAGTAGAAATCCCGTTAACTTGCCGTCCCATATAATCAGTCGAATGGGCACCACAGAGAGAAATTGCAGTTTATACGGCGGTTGCTTGAGATTCCTCTCAGCAACTAGAATAAAATTTGGTGCATTATGCGTATCAATGAGCACCCGCTGCATTTTGTAGTTAATACCAATGACATGACCCGATTCAAGTGTAACCACATTCATCATATGCTGAAAGATCTCCATGACCACGGCACGCATATAAATCACCTGTCGGTTGCTCACGTACCGCTTGAAGAACAAATTGCTAGAATCATCGCCCGCCTGCTTGGCATTATATTTGCGCTCATTTGCAATCTTTGTCAATTCATTCAGTTCCGCTGGCGTGCGTTCCGGTGCGGTGCAGTAATTCAAACCGGCGGCAAGCAGGCTGCAAAATCACGAAAAGGAGAAAATATAAATATCGATAGACATTTTAAGGATAGCCGATATTAGCGATTCTCATTATAACTGTCAACTCTAAAAATAATTCTCAACTGAAGTTGTTGGGTTAGTGAAATGTAAGAAAAACTTTACTTTATCTAAGCAGTTTTTAAGGTGAGCTTTTGTTTTATCTATCGAACTATTATAAGCTACTTTAATCATTTTGTAAGCATGTGTATGTAAATTGAATTCTGTTGAGAGTCTCAAAACTATCAAATACCGCAAATAAACTCGTTAATTTAATATGGCAATTTAAACATTAAATATTCCCTATGAGAAAATAAAAACCAGGAAACTACTTACCGATGCACCATAACATCCGGATAGCGTCGAATCGGACTCGTAAAGTGGGTGTAGATGGGTATGGAGAGGGCGTAATGCCATAGATCGGACGGTTCCGTTTTGCCATCGCTGCATATATAGCTGTAAAAAGAAACGTGATTAATATCCTGTAATAATATATCTATAGATTTATGCGATCAAATTCATATAGCCTCTCATACTCTCCAAATATTTTCAAAACTTTACAGGGTATCACATCTCTTGCTATCGGTCAACTTACGTGGCACGCGCCATCGGCTTCATTAGCAGCTGACTTAGACACGCCGACATAGCCACCGGATCGGCAGCCTCCTGGCAGATTTTTCGCATGCTCGCCTGCAATGCCTTCGAGGAGCTGTAGTCCAGTTCTAGGCCGTGGGCGTAAAGCTTGTCACGCAGCGTTTTCAAGGACTTGGTCAGGGGAGGAGGATGATTTCGCAGCACCGCAATTTTGGGAAAGGCATCGTGGATGAATTTGGCCACCGCCTGATTGGCCAGCAGCATGAACTCCTCAATCATGTGATTCGCTTCCCTCAGTTGCTCTATCTCGAAGCCAATGGGTTCGCCTTCCAGAGGATCTAGAGTAAACCGCACCTTGGCATTGTTGATGGTGAGGGCGCCATTATCGAAGCGCTTGGTACGCATGTTAGAGGCAATGCCATGCAGCCAGGTAACTCTTTGGACTATATCGTTGACCGTAAAGCCGTTGAGGATGTTGGGGAAATCGTCTTCGGTGAAGGGCTCACGTGGATTATCGATTATCTTCTGGGCATGCTCGTAGGCAAACTGTGAACACGAATTAATGACGGATCGCGTAAAGGCTGGCTTGCCCAGCTGCTTGCCCTGGCCATCCATGCGCCAGAACACAGAGAACGAGTATTTGTCCTCCCCTGGCAGCAGGGAGCAACGGAAGCACAGCGTCTTTGGCAGCATGTGAATCACCTCGTTGGCCAAGTAGATCGAAGTGGAGCGTTGCTTGACAATGTTGTCCAGCTCGCTGTTCTCTTGCAGATAATGGGAGACGTCCGAGATGTGCACGCCCACCTCATATTCATTCTCGCTGATCTTCTCTATGGAGATGGCATCATCCAAATCCCTGGCAGTCAACGGATCAATGGTGAAGACGCAACTCTTGCGCATATCACGACGATTTACTAGATCATCAGCTGTTACGGCGGGCGCTGCCTCGGCGTACATCTCATTGAAGCGCTCCTCATAAGGCACAATGTCTCGCAAACTGTTGTGGAAGAGAATGGCCTTCAGCTCGCTATCCAGATCCCCCACACGTCCCAGCGGCTGCACCAGCTCCGCAATGCAATGTCCATTGGAGTCCGTCTCCAGTATGTGCGCCACGTAGAGCAAGCCGCACACCTCGTCCAGCTGCTTGCCACCCAAATGGGCAGCACAGCTGGCCTGCGGTATATAGGCCATAGGCATACGTAAGTCAAAGGGTCGGAATTTGTAGAAGAGCTCGTCGTCGCACAGCTTGGTGGGATTGGTGAAGGAAATGTTGCCGACAATCTGGCGTAGCTCCGTTTGCTTAACAATGGCAATGACAAAGGCTTTGGGGCAATTATCCGAGGCAATGACTGTCACACTGTCATCGTCCGAGTCCTGCGATTCGGTCTCATCCGACAATTCTTCGTCCTCAGCTTTGAAGGGAGACGGAGAGCGTGAGTGAGAGTGAGAGAGCGTTAGCAGCTCTCAGAATCCAAAATACTTACCTAATGATAGTGATCCCTTGCCACCTATAATGGCGCCCGCTGACGGATCCGTTGTCCTGCTCACCGCGGCGCCCACATTCAGGACAAAGGCACGCACTGTATCTCCCTCGAAGGCATAACGCCTGGCCACGGGCAATAGGACGATGCCATCACGCTCCAGTGTCTCGCGATCCGTTGACATGGTGATGAATGCCTGGCGATTATTCTTCCGATTCACACGAATCTCCTCCTCGACGATGCGACCATAGCCAGCTGCCACCAGTCGTCGAGCATGCGTCTCCAAGTCACCAAAGTCACCCTTGAAGAGCAGCTCCTGCGGCAACTGCTGCTCGCTGCCCACATACTGTTGCACGATCTTATTGATGTACGATCGCATGGCTTCCAGTTCGGTCTGCAGAGATCGAGGCGTGGTCCTATCACTGCGTTTCTTGCGATTCCGATTGCGCTTGCGTGGCGATTGAGCGCCAGAATTGTCCAATTGTTGTTGTTGTTGCTGCTGATACTGCTGTTGCTGAGCTGT